CTATTTTTTTTTTCTATCTTTCACTAAATCTTAGATTATGAAATGTTTGTAAATCATTTTCTATCTTGACTAATTTTACTACGATTATAATATACTGCCTATTATTTATATAAAAATGAATAGATTGAAAGATAAATAGTCTCAATTACGTAAATAATATAAAGTATTCAAATAAATTAAACCCAAATTATATATATGTATTAACTAAAATACAACTTTAAACTTACCTATATTTTAGTTACATTTTCTAAATTATTCTAAAAGGTAAACATAAATAAAAATTGTGAAATTTCCTAATCCTCAAAATTGATTTCATTATTCAAAATAAAATATATACAATGTTTCAACCATTAAAAAAACCTTAAAAGATAATAAACGAAACGATTCAAGTCTTCAAAGTTAAAATTAATACACCTGAAATTTCAATAATATTATTTAGTGTAGGTATAAATTATAATTAGATAAATTAATCAAAGAATCCTTGTTGGAGTACCAAAGGAAATTAAAATAAATTAAAATTAAACAAATAAACAAAATAATCTTTGTAGGAATACCAAAGAAAATTATCCTAGCCTCTAATTATTCAATTTGTACACACTCTCAATGTTCACTACACCATTTGAAGATTAATGGACATAAACATTAATGTAGGGTTCCTTTTCCTTGTGAGTTTATGAAAGTTAAACTTAACTATTGTCATATGTTCATCTTGTCTTCCATTATAAATAATAAAGATTATTTAAAAAAAATACGCAAAATAATAAGTACACTAAAATCATCAATAATGAGGAAAAAAGCAATAAAAAAAAAGAACAAAAAAAAATATTGTAAATAAAAGACATCAAACAAACTGAAATAAAAAGAGTAACATGAGTGAAATATTGTACTCATCAAAATTGAATTTGAATTTTCAAAATTGTCATATACTCGTCTACTCGTCCATGCTGTTGAGTGTTAACAATAGAAGTTAGTCACAAAGAATATATATATATAAAATTAGACATAATCAAAGTGATGTATCTTGGTAACTCAAATTAGATATTGTTCTCATTGAATTTGAATTTCCAAAATTGTCAAATGCTCATCTTATCTTCCACATTGTAAAAGTTAGTAACAAATAAACTATATATTATAAAATTAGAAATAACCAAAGTGATGTACTTTAGTATAAATATGATAAAGAAAGGGAAAATAAAATAAAAAATTCTTGCATTTGTGAAGATGACATGATTTTAGTATTTATAGTAATCCATAAATTCTTAACTATTGAATAAATAAATTAAAAGAGTAATGGAGTAATCAATACCTACAATTGTAACTTATATTGGTCATTAGTGTCTTAATTATAATTTAGTAATACTTTTAAGAAGGAATAGGGAAAGATTTAAATATTTAAAGGGATAAATTGTAACTTATGTATACCTAAAATAATAAAGGTATTAATGGAGGAATTTAAAGAGAAATAATGAATAGAGGATATTTATTTAATTCAACTAATATATCAAGATAAAATTAAGAGAAAAAAAAGCTTTAAAAAAAGATAAAATATATAAATTCTAATGCTGGCCTATGAGAGGTGCCACATCAGCACTTTCATATCCAGATTTATATATATATATATAGATTTGTGGTGACACACTGCACACATATATTTTAAGGGTTGTCCAATACGATGTATTATGAGAAATAATCTACGTATTATATATGATATTATTTATATTTGTAGAATTTTGAGTATGTGAATTACATTGTGTTATATAACGTATAACTATTAATTTATTTTATTTTTTTGGTCAAATTATTGTTGGCCCCATGGCCATTTTATTAATTGACAAGTAAAATAAGTTATAATAAGCCACATAAAAGGCTATAAAATATCCGATCCAACCCAGTCTATCTCTCTATCTACGTTTAGGAAAGTACCCCTGCTTGTTCGATGAAAGTTTTTACGTGCTAATGTATATTAGCAAGAGCTTTGTTAATTATTTTTGTTACGCCCCTTCTCTTTCAGATTAAGAACTTGATTCTAACCTGTCATTTGATTTTATTTGTTTTATTTCTATCCTGATGGATGACATCTGTGTTTTGTTAATATTAATGATGCATTTTATGTTGTTGGTGATTCCGCTAACTCTCTTGAATTTCCTTTTGTCTATGCTAATGATTATTAGATTATCTAAATAATTCGTAATTTGATTGTCCTCCATGTGCAACATTTTGTTGTTGTACATCTCTCATTCATGATTTCTGCAATTTTTCATAGTACTCTCCATGTCTGTTGAATAATGTTTTTTAGAGTGAGTGAATCAGATTCAATAACCATGTTCTGCATACTCTTTTTTGCACTAAACTTTAAAGTCTCCTGTATTGCTCTTGCCTTCATTTTTATATTCGTAGCAATACCAATTCTTTTCGATTGTGCATAAATGAGGCCTCCAGTTCTGTTTCTTATCCAGAAACCATGCGCACTCTCTCCTGAATTTCCTTTTCTCCCACCATCTATATTACTTCTTCCGTTTCACAAAGAATTATTTAGTTTAACTTGGCACGGAGTTTAAGAAAATGATGAAGACTTTTGATCACGTGGTCCTAAATTAAAGTTATATTAAATGTACAAAATTGCTCTTTAATATTGTAGCCTTAAACATGCCACGTGGAAAATTATAACCAAAAAAAGAAAAAGATCATTCTTTTTTAACCAAAAATAAAACTAAAAAGGAAAGGAGATCATTCTTTTTTAAACGGAGGGAGTGTAATTTAATTGATCTTACTCCGATAAATTTTGTTGTACAATTTGGTAGTAAATCCTTGGCTAATAAGATCCTATTATTTTCACTATTTCATGTCAAGATTTTGTAGTTGTTTTGAACTCTGAATTGTTAATCATTACTTTAATTAAATGCTCTTTTCCACTTGTTGTACGAACCCTTCAAAGATGAACTGACCTTTATGTTTGATATGGTTCCTTCTCTTCCACAAATTCCATATTATGAGAGTTGAAGTATCTCTAAAAATATATTTGAGTTTTGTAGGAGCTTTCACATACCACCAACTCTTGATCATCTGCATCAAAATTCTTCCTTCTGTGTCCAAACCTGAATATGAAGCAAAATGCTTTCAAAGTTTTTGGGCAATGGAAAATGTTAGAAAAAAATGTAAAAATTGTTTTCATTTGTTGTATCTCACAACACTAACATTTGGAGACAATGTTAATTTGTATTCTTGTTAGATTGTCATCTGTGACAATCCCTCTTTTCACGCCCTTTATAAAAAGAAATTAATCTCAAGTTTTTTGCTCAAATCATATCATATGTTTTTCCCTTCTCCATTTTCTTTCTCACTAATTCTAAGTTGATTTAACTGAAAAAGAACCCTTCTGAATATTCACCATAATTTAGCGAATAGAGTATCTAATACATCATATATCGATCTAAAATTCACTCCTCCCTTTGATTTTGGTAAACACACTGTTTTCCAAGAAATTCAGTGTTTCCCTTTTATTCCTCATATGTGGCAACTTTGTCATAATTTCATGAATCTAATTTATTCTGCCCTTAGGAGGATTCATTGTCGACATAAGATAAATAGGCATTGATCGTAAAACATGAGCTATAAAAACATACCTTCCCTTATAAGTCAAAAGATGATTCTTTCATCCCATCACTCTTTAGGCAACTTTCTTTATAAGCTCTTTAAAATATGATTTTTTCCCCTCCCGTTAGAAAAGTTAGGCATCCAAGATATGTAAAAGGAAAGACACTTTATGAGACTCCAGTAGTTCTTTTAATCCTCTGACAAACAAATTGAGAAACCCTTCTCATGCAAATATACATAGCCTCTGTTCAGGTTTACGAGCTGCCCTGACACGTGTTCATATATCCTCAAAATCTTCATCAATCTTTTCATTGACCTCATATC